TGTGAGAAACTGGGATCTTTTTTACAACATATACAAGAACTTTATCCTTTATAACTATTTTTTAACATTGCTTTGCTTTTATATAAACGATGTTTTACAATTATGCGCCGTTTTTTTTGAGCATTCTGATTGGTCGAAGTTATCTTTAACAAGGTCGTTTGTGCGTTCCTAGGTCATTTCGGTTTGGGTTCCTATTGTTTAGAGTTGCCAGATAAAGTACCTAAGCTAGTCACCTCTAGTGGTGGTATCTATCAATTCAACTGCTCCTGTGTATGGAGTCAGTTAGTTATGTTGGTGATCATTGATTGCGTTTTTTTCCTTCACGTTCCCCAGTGGAACATAGGGCTTCAAGCTAATGGCTTGAAGTTTCTGTAGCAGTGTTTATTTTACAGGATGGGGTTGCTAGCCTCATGCCCAAGCTTTCCTCTTCACCAGCATTATTTCTGGCTCAGCGGGGTAAAGGAGTGCGTCGGCCGCTATACCACCGCCGCATTGATTGCGTTAGGAAGTTAAATTTTTTGTGTTCGGAAACACATAACCAATATGGCTAAATAAAGGCGTTGTTGAAACTATCAACAGTCTGATATTAGATCACCTCGCTGAAGAGTTTTTCTTTATCATCTGTCAGGTATTGAATAAACTACCAAAGGCCTCTTGCATCGGTGACCCAGTGGTAGAATGCTCGTCAACCACGCCTCATGTGGTCCAAGGTTCGATCCCCGGCCGATGAGGCACTGCTTTAAATAGCTAAACCAGTACTAAGACTGGTAAAGAGGGAAGGCTGGGTGTGAGGCTAGCAACCTCATCCAGTAAAAATAAATACCACTGCTCCCGAAACTCCAAGCCTCTAGCTTGAAGGTGCCCTATGTTCCAAGGGGTACGTAAAGGAATAAAAACAACCAAAGGCCTCTAGATACGAAAAGCACTTCGAACAGCAGAAGTCATTACAGTTCGCTTAAATCAACAAGAAATCTGTGTGCAGAGGGAATAACTCTTTTTGAAAATTATGAAAATTTAAACCTTTATCCCTGAATATATGTGTGTAAAACTTGGGCGCTCTGGTAGTAAGTAATTCCATATTAGTTTGTTTATTAGGTAGATCACACAGTCAGAGAAACAGTATTATTATTTACTGGGTGACAAAGTTTTGAACACAACTTATTCCTGTTCATAATCACATCAGTTATAATCGCACGACTTCGAAACTTGAGTTTTATAGTTAGATTTTGTTCTTTCCTATTTGTCGTAGGGGTAGTAGAATTTTCCAGATACCTGGATGGGCAGGTGTTGAATCATTCCTATTACACGTGTTTGCAGTTGATTCGACAAACAAGGCTTCCGTTATCAATCTCTCCCTCCAACCTGTTAAATTGGATTTTAAAACTGTCATCTTATCCCATCCTATTGTCTGGTTTTACGTGTTATTGCATGTAGTGAATGGTATAACTGAACTATTCTCCAGATTTCTTCTTATCTTATTCGGGTTAACTAATCTAGATTTTGCTGCTAGGTTTTAATGCCCCGATAGCCTGAATGACTGACTCCGTTCTACTACTTTGACCGATGTATTTGACCTGACAATCATTCCAGCAGGGTATTAGATAAACTAAGTTGTTTTGTTTAATTGGCTGCACTGGCAGGATCCTTTAACCGACAAAGCTTATTTGTAATTGAGTTTGTGGATTTGAATGCCAGCCACTTATATTCCTGCCTGCATTGTTAAAAATTCTCCGTAAGTTGGCTTCCGAGGTTCCTTCTTTGTATGGAAGTACTACTGACGGTGATTTATGTTCCCTATCGGTGGTGTTGTCATTATCCTGTGCATGTTTGACTTGCATGTCGTCAATATTATTATTATTATCACTATCGCTACTATCATTATTTATTTTATTTTTACATTTTCCTGCACACATTTTGACTCATTTCCCATGGTAATTATCAAGTTTCAAAGCGTCTCTTATATGCCTCACTTTCTGTCTTAGATTTTCCTTGATACTACTTAGTTTTTGTGCTCTATTACTTAAACATTTCACCAATCCTATTTTTACTGACATAGGATGGGATGATCGGAAATCCAAATATCTGTTTGAATATGTGAGTTTTCTGTAAACGCTAGGGTGCTTAACTTCCCATCTTCTTTCCTTGTGACGCTACAATCTGACATTGGAAGCTCCTCTTCCTGACTTTCCAATTCATAAGTGAATTGAATTGCCTCCATCCTTGAGTTATCGAATCGACTACAAATACGTGTATAATAGGAATGATTCAACACCTGTCTACACAGATATCTGGAAAATTCTATTACTCCTACGATCACAAATAGGAGAGAACAAAGAAAACTATAAAACTCAAGTTTCGAAGTCGTGTGATTATAATTGATTATATGATTATGAACAATAATGAATTGTGTTCGAAACTTTGTCATCCAGTAAATAATGGGACTGTTTCGCTGACTGTATCTAATAAACAAGCTAATATGGAATTTACCCCTTAATCATTGAACTTCAGATTGTAATGGCTTTGAAACAGAAATTCTCTAAGAGACTCGTATTATCTTCATGTCTATCTAGTGTCCCACAATTATGATCCAAGAAATTATAATATATTTCAGAGATGGCACGATATTAGATCAGAGACGAGACCCACTGTCTAACCGGATGAAAACTTGACTACAGTCCTCAAGAGTAATGTTTACCTGTTACGTGATGGTACGTGCCCTGGGGTGGGTGTGTGGGAGGGTGATCGTAAACTGACGGTAATGACTCATTCATTCATACAATCGCATTTATAAACGATATTTTTTGTCAAGAAAGAGGGCAGTAACAAAAGTGATAGGTTGTCACGATCATAGTAGTTAATATTGATCAATGCATAAAAGCATTTGAGTAAGGATATTAGAATTACGTAAAACACAAAGTTAGCCGAAATGGTTGAATAATTTTCTTTTGTATGCAGTGAGTGCTCCATCCCAAGCAAAATACTAAGCCGCATCATCCTGGAGAGAATCGAACACGCCACCCTGGATGAAAAACTTCGACCGGAACAGGCTGGATTCAGAAGAAACAGGTCATGCATTGATCAAATCGCCACACTACGGATCATAATAGAACAGAGCTTGGAATGGCAGTCACCTCTCTGTCTCAACTTCATCGACTTTGGAAAGGCCTTCAACAGCGTCGATCGAGAGGTGATTTGGAAACTACTTCGCTACTACGGGGTGCCACCGACAATTAAACATCTCATCCAACAGCTGTACGACAATGCTGCATGTCAAGTAATAAACAACGGGAAACTTACGGTATCCTTCGAAGTGAGGACAGGAGTGAGACAAGGCTGCCAAATATCGTCAATGGTTTTCCTGATTGCGGTAGATTGGATAATGCGACAAACAGCGGGCAGAGAGGAAACAGCCATGAAAATGGACCCTTACGAAAAACTTGGAGGATCTGGATTTCGCCCATGATATATGTCTGATTTCCCACAAACTGGAATATATGCAAGCAAAAAGCAACAAGTTGGCAGAAGAAGCATCAAAGATAGGACTTCAGGTGAACATAGAGAAAACAGATATGGTGTTGAAAATTCCTGGGCAACACCACCAACAGCAATAACAACGATCAGCATAAATGGGATGAACCTGAAAGAAACAACCTCTTTTACCTACCGACCTGGTAAGCATCGTCTCAACTACAGGCAGACGGAACTAACGAGGATATCAAAGCAACGAGATTCGGAAAAGCAAGACAAGCTTTCACTACTCTCAAGTCTGTGTGGACGTCAACAGCACTCAGCATGAAAAATAAGATCCGGATTTTCAACTCCAATGTAAAGTCAGTGCTACTCACTATACGGATCAGAGACTTGCACTGCGCGTCGTAAAGAGCATCTCAAACAAACTACAGACTTTCATTAACAGTTGTCTTCGCTCAATACTCAAGATCAGATGGCCAGAAAAGGTCAGCAACAGGGATCTTTGGGAACGAACCAACCAGGAACCGATTGTGAAACAAATAGGCAGGAAGAAATGGAGGTGGATTGGCTGGCCATACTCTGAGGAAACAATCAAGTGACATCACTAGACAAGCCATAGCTCGAGTGAGACCCGAAAGAGTAGCGGCGAGTTGGTCGTCAGTGAGAGGGTGGGTGACTTGGAGGAGGTGATGTGAGGAGGAGATGAAAACGTGTGGGCAGACTTGGAGCCAGGTGAAGACCCTAGCAGAGAACCGAACGCAATGGAGACGCACGGCTGAAGCCCTATGTTCCTCTAGGAATTAAAGGAAACAATAATATAGAATAATAATGCAGTGCTCCAGTTTCTCTATCTAAATGACTACAGGCTCAGCAATGCAAAGGAGATGAAAGCGTATTGTCCTTGGCAGATTGTTCTTCACGTTGTAGATTACTCTGAAGAAGGAGCTTGCTGATATAGCAGAATGACCAGTGTTGACGATGTATTCAGCTATCGCACTCATCATACAGCCTCATACTGCCTTTCTACAACCATGCAGGATAGTATTCTTGAACCCTTTTAGATAGGATACGCATCGAACTATCAGTACACGCGACTCCACAGGAATAGGCGACCCGGTATGTGCATATACGAGTGATCAGGCTTCTGTAGACCATTGGACTACCGGAGAACACTACTCTTAGCGTTGTTCCTCTCAAAGATGACGAAATTTTTCTCTTAATAATATGACAGGTTAATTTCCCCTTGAAATCCACGTTGGTATTTAACCGTAGCTGGTAAATTAGCAGATTGGTGATTGGGATGCCACTGGGTTTGAATCTCCTCATGACCGCCCTTCCCATCAAGATGTTCATTTCACTTTCATGTATTCGCCAGTCATGATATCAAAGAATAAACTGTTAACATTCAATATTCAACTACAGAATCACAATATGTGACTATTGTGCTAACTTTTTTTTTAAAATTTAACCGAGTAATTATCAGAAAGAGGAAAGTAATCTTAGTATTTTTTTTAAATTCTTCTTTCTAGGTTAAAGTATGGTTCCAGAATCGAAGAATGAAATTTAAACGAATGAGAAGTAAGTACTACTGTCTGACCGATTGACGATTGAATATTAAATGTTGAATATTGAACAGATACGGGCTTTTTATTAGTGCGCTATTTTTGATTTCATGATATACTGGATGTTATCTGAGTTAAAGCTTTCCGTTGGAGGTGACTTTTAATTTATGCAAAATTAGAGCCTTTAATGATGTGCTTTTGTGGTTCAGGAGTAGAATTTTCGCCCAGAGACGCATGTGGTGTGGGTTCTGTTTCCGGCTGGTCCTTTTCCAAATCCCACTTAATTGGTAGTTGAGGAAGGTTAGGTTTTAGGCTAGGCACCCAATCCCATGAAATAAAACAACATCACCACTAATGAAACTTTAAAGTTCGTCGCTTAAACTTTTATTTTCCACTCGGAACGCCAGAAGGGCGAATTGATTGCTTCATGAAGAAGTATTTAAATGAATGTTTTGACGAATTTCAAACCAACGGTCCATAAAAAGAAAATTCAACCATTAAAAATAACTAAATATTAGTGGATGGTCAGTCGGTGGTTTGGCGGTTGAATATCCTCCAACCAGACACATAGTTCGGGCCTCGAGTCCCGGCTGACGCATTCTTAAATATCGCTTAGCTGATAGTAAGTTTGGTATGGAAGAAAGGTCAGGTGTGGTGCTAACAACCCCACCTCTTAAAATAAGCAACATCGGCCAAGTTAAAGTACCACCGCTCAGGAGTGTGAACTCTCCAATGACCTTGAACGAGATACTGTCTGGGCCTAATGGCGCTCACTTAGGCTGTCTTGCTTACTACTCTCAAATGCTATAGCAACCGTAACAGAAGGTAAATACAGAGTGAGTTATGCCATTCTCATGACTCACTTATATGACTGTGGACGATTTTCTATAGTCCATGGAGGCTATTCACATATTAAATTGGTTGGCAGGGTTAAAGATTTCATTAAATTTGATGGGTGTTGGCCTAATTTACAGCGGCTTACTGTTGATCAGCCCATGAGGAAATCGAATTCCCCCCCCCAAAAAAGAAACCATTATTTACTTATATTTTTCTGAAATATGTTTCAGTTTTTCAATAGATTTTAATTTCTTTTAAAACGTTCGATTTATTTTCGCTCCCTTTCTCCATAACAACCCAATAGGTAACAGTGTTTCCAAAGATGATTCCTATTCAATCCCCCTTCCATATGATGATGTATGTTCAAGTATGCAACAGCTTTGTTAGAAATAAATCAAATATTCTTTATAATGAAGCGGAAAATTTCAGAAAATTTCTTTTTTGTCTTAATTTCTTCTTCTCCTTCTGATACGATTAACTACTAAACTAACTCCACCCCCTTGCTAATTTATTCCACTTTTCTACCCCCTTATTCTTCTCCCCCTACGATATTTTTTTGCGTTGGCGTGTGAACGTGTCACCCTATTTGTGTGTGTGGGTGTATTGGAGTGCGTAGGCGTATTTTTGTGCGTTTCTGTCTCGATCACTTGTAATTTTTCTTCAAGATTCTTTTTAATTATTTGTCAAAAATAATCTTTTTTGAAAAAAATATATATACAATAATTTCACTAAGAAAAAATTATGCCTTTTGAATAATTTTTTGATAGAGTTCATCACCCTGATGTTCATTTCGTCCTATCCGAGACTCGTCAACTAGCTGAATTTACCTGTAATCCTGCGTTTGAAACTATGCGTATTGGCTTCGAGTCTCACTGGGAACGCCTTCACTGACTCATTGGGAAATGCAGGTTTTACCCCCACTGGCTGACGAGTCCCAAATAGGATAAAATGCACATTCCGGATTCCAGTGTTAGTCACCATCCACCAATTTACTTCAAAATAATAATAACAGTTTTATTCTGAACATTGTGTACATACCGTACGGAATTTTCATCGGAAGTTATTGCAGGATAATTTCTCTTTGTCTAGTATCTTCAAGTAAAATATCAGCTGACAGCTGCAAATCACATGACAAACTACTGTCTGATCAGAGCAGCAGACTGATCCTTTTGGTGATATTAGATAGTTGAAGGCAATCGGCGGGAAGCCTTGGACCTAGGTTTCGTGCTAGTTGGCACTCATCAGCAAAGCGTATCTGCAACCTTGAAGAAACTCATGTCCCTTCTGAGATTCGAACCCGCGTCACCCAGTGCTGCAGTCAGGTCCAACGCTTCCCACCGATTGCCTCCAACCATCTAATATGATCAAATCAATGTGCACCGAGATGGCGAGCTACCTAGAATGGTGGACACATTGCAAATACCTGACTGATAGAATTCAGTCTGCACCAAAGAAAGGACTAGATACGTCACACTAGCCTCAGGATGGTCGGGGGTGGGTGCCTTGCGCTGCGGGTTGGCCACCCCTCCGCACACCCCTCGAAATGCTCCCATATGACCGGGCGTCTTACATAGCCTCTCCTGAGGAAGTCCTACTCACTGCCTTCACGTGGTGGAGGTGTTTTCCACCAAAGTGAGAGGGCAAAAGCGGATGCCCGGCGCTCTTCACCGGGTTGACTGTCCATTGGATGACAGTCTAGGGGAGATGGCTAAACCCTGATTCCAAACCTCCAACGACTGGCACATGAAGCTCACTGGAGCTCACCGGCAGACGTATGGACAAAGGGCTTGTTGGATGTCTTGGATGTCTGGCCCCATTCAAAAAGGCGTATGAACCGAACTCCGGTCACCGGCTGCCAATGGATAGTGGACTCCCTACTCCACTCCTACTGCCTTGTAGGTCACACTTGGTTGTGTAAAGGCTAGAGCTGCACTCTCAAACAAAAGGCCGAGCGATTCTGGGGACATCACTCGTACCGAATTCCCATGAAACTTCATGAACTCTTATGTTCATGAAGCCGGCTCATCCTCCCTTAGGAGATAGCCGAAGTAAAGTAAAGTAACTAGTTACTAGTGTCCAATCGAAAAGACTGATCCTTTATCACATTTATTTCTTTTTGATTGAAAGCCAACTATATAAAATGTCCAGGTGTACAATTTGACACCCAAAGACATAACTTAGGAACACTTGTCTCATGCATTGGAATACGTCGCTATCGACGCGATCATACTTCCTCTCAGGTTTAGTAGAAATTTGAGAATAAAGGAAGTTTTAAGCAATTTAAGTACCCACGAGAGTAGATTAAAACAAAGTGAACGCGAGAAACTATATACAGTATAATGATGACGGTTTTCAGTAGCCCAAGTTTTAAACAGGCCAAGACCAAGAACATCCTAAGAATGATTTGTTTCTAAATTTGAGCACGGACTGATGTCAATTGGACAAGTTGTATGGAGGATTTCATCATGAGCTGACATCAGTTAGAGAACCACTGGAAAACCTGGGAGTACTGGACAGCTGTTTCGTCCTAGTTTGGGACTCTTCAGCAGTACGCACCCACCGGGATTCGAACCCAGGACCTTCTGGTTACAAGGCGAGCTCATAGACCATTGAGCCACTGGGACCCGATCCAATGGTCCTTGAATTCTAACTTCTGCCAATCCTCCATACAATTAAACAAAATCCCTACCAAACCAATACTTGAAAATTGGACAAGTATCAAAAACCAAAAGGAAGTACTGGATAACAAGCGGTTTCATTCTAGTTGTTTGGGACTCTTCATCAGCTGATATAAGTATAAAACTTAGACATTCTGGTAGAGCATAACTCCATTATGCGTAAGATTTTATTTTGATAAATCACACAGTGTTATACAGTAGTATTAACTGATGACCACGTTTCAAGCGCAATTTATTGCCACTCATAATGATATCAAGACACTGCTCACACAACTTCTTACTTCATTTATATGCATGTGTGGAATTGACTAGATATTTGAATAAAAATCAATATGGGATAATGTACATTCAGAAATAATAATATGAGTGTTATTGATCAAATACAATCAGATGGGAAATAAGACGAGTGTTTTCATAGTCATAATAAGTAACTTGTTAGGGTGTTATAATGTGCGTGAATTGAAATAAAATTTTCAGATTATATATTATCCTCCTCTGATTTGACTGACTGGTGGTAATTATATCTTCTAGATCTCTGGTATTTGCATTGAGTCACTTCTGTTGCACGTGTTGGGTGTAGACTCAGTGAACCAGGATTCAGTAATCAACCTGTCCCTCTCTCCATCTACTCATTAGACTTTTTAGAATTTTAACCCTCTCCCACCCACTCTATTGTGTGGTTGTGTGTTAATGCATGCAGTGCAATGTTGTGCTGAGCTTTTTTCTAAATTACTTATCTTCGAGGGGTCAACCATTCTTACCTTAGCTAAATTCTTATGTTCTGACAGGCAATCTCACTACTCCTGGTCTACTGATTTGACCTACGTAGTTGACCTCACTCACAGTCATTTATAGGAGTTTTGCAAATTATGTTATTTTGTCTAATTGAGTAAACCTACAAGGTCCTTTAACCTACAGAGCTTGTCCTACCTGAGTGAGTTTGTAGGTTTGAATGCCACCCGCATTTTTGCTTTCTTCAGTTAATATTACTGTACAACACTGTGTAATTTATCAAAATAAAATCTTAATAATAATAATAATTCAATAATAATAATAACAATTTGCTTTATTCCAAAAGAGTACATGTGATACAGAATGGAATTCTCAGCATTTCACTACAATATTGCATCCAGTTAGTACATTATCAATAAATAAAATTCTACATAGATTAAGGAAATCTCAGTTCATTATGACAACAACATATTGACATGTCGGTAGCAAAGCCAAAATTGAACAGTGTTTGAAGGTGTTAGAAAAGTAGATGCTAGCATATTTACTGGCGTAAGCGAGAGAAAGAAACAAAGCAGCACATAACAGAAAAAGAAGAGAGAGAAAAGGAAAAGAAAGAAAGAAAATGTTGTACCTATAAATGATATGAGTTGGAAAGACGAGATCCAGTTGTTCTACTGACTATTCAATGAGTTATAGGTTTCACGCGTAATGCTTTCTTTATCACACAGAACACGAGCTAAGTAGGGTATGATTGAGTTTTTGTACTTGCTGGTGCGAGCATATAGTTTTCTATATAGGCTTCTGGTTTTGCCTGATGAGATGCAAGGGGAGAGTTGTGAGTGAAGAGGGTGGTATGAGTTAGATAAAGTGGATTTGGCCCATTTTTCTCATGAGTCCAAGTGCCTGCCTGTCGACCAGAATATTAACAAGCTGGTTAAGTGGCATAATGGAGTTATAATCTACACTTTATATTCATTAACCAATCACCAAGCATGTGATTTCCGTTTACATCAAATAACATGAAATAGAATGTTCAAATAGGTGTATCGTATTCTGTTGTTAATGCCGAATTGAACTGTAAGGGTATGTGAGAATAATATTCCGTTGGCACACATTGTCTGTATCACACCACCACAATAAGAACATCTGGGAGTTAAATTCTAGCATTTCTTACCTTCTCGACGGTAAATTAAAATTTATTGCAGGATGTACATCGTTAAATTTGTCCACTTCCTAGTTTTTTCAAGGAAAATGTCAACTAGAATTGGTCCAAGTGGTAACCTCATAGCCACACCCTCAATACATTTGTAGAATTCCTTATTATATATGAAAAATGAACAATCTCATTGTGTGCGTCGGTGGCACAGTGGTTAGGACTCTCGCCGACCATGCACATGGTCCGGGGTTCGATCATCTGCCGACGCACACCCGATATCTATGGTCAGCCTGCGAAATTTGGGCTACCCATATCCAAGCTGAAAATTCCATACTTGTACTGAAAGTACGGTGTGGCATCAAGCTGTAATCAAAAAAATAAAAAAAGAATAAATAAAAAATATCTGTAAAGAAACTCCTTCACAGAAGATATAGAAAGACCAAAGTTGATGTTCCGTCTAATAATAATAATAATACCTTTATTCCAAACAGTATTTGCGGTACAGGTATGGAATTTTCAGCATGCACTATAATATTGCATCTAATTACCTCATAAATTTTATAAGATTTTGAAATCAAAAAGCAACAACCAAAAAATAAAAAAGAACAGCGTTGCGTTTACATTTTTAAACAATGCACCACAGGATATGAAATATAAAATTAGTGTGTAATAGAAGAAGATGTGAACAACAATATAATAGTAAGGAAGAAAGGAAAACAAAAACTAATGGGACTAATTGTTAGAGTGCTGCAGTAAGTTGATCCTGTCATACCTAACAGATTTCTCATCATATAACAACTGTGCCAGATAAGGTATTGTGGAGTTTTTGTACTTGGTAGTCCAAACATATAGCCTCCTATAACTCCTTGTAGTTCTACCAGATGAAATGCAAGGAGAGAGCTGTGTATAGAGAGGATGCTCAGGGTCTAACAATATAGTATTCGCTAGTCTTTTACATGACATTATATGTCTAACCACCTGCCCTACTAACGGCTTTTAGTGCCCTTCTCAGCAAAGCAAAGTCTTTCTTAAGTAGTCCAGGAAAGATTAGTGGGGAGCAGTAAAGAGGGATGTGT